CTTTTTCTTGTGACTATGAAACCAAATCTTCCCACAGATCTCAATACTCTCCTTTTGTTCCTTTACTCTATATTTTATACGGTTGTTGGGTGTCTACCTGAAATCCATTATTGTATAGTCTACAAATCTCAGACTAAAGTAGATATGTGAAAAAGATGTACATTAGATATCTTCACTAGAAAAAAATATACACAAAATAGTACTAACAATCACATGAAAAAGCAGTAAAAAGACACTAAATTCAAGAATCAAGAAAAAGAATCTCAAAGCTTGAGGGACAAGTCAAGCTTCTGCTGCTCTTCATGATGATTAGTGCCTAACAACAATCCACTGTCTCCGTGCCATTTTTCAAGAGTCGGTGACCCTTCTAGAATCCGTCCTGCGGTACTCGGTCTATCGATGTTATGAGTCCGAGAATTTACTGAAGGAGCCATCATCATCATATGATGTTGATGATGATGAAAATTCTCCATTGAAGGAAATTTACCTATGGCTGGTTGTTGATCAAATGGAAGTCTTGACCAGTTGACCTGACCGTAGTGACCACCAAACCCGCTATATGAACTTAGCTTGTGGCTCATCGAATGTGCTTGAATCCCCAAAGACCTATTGTTGTTGTATTGTCCATGGAAAGGAAGTGGAGAGAAACCGTAAGGATGTCCAAAAGCTGAGGCTGACGCTGCCATACGTTGTCCTCTCTTCGCCAACGTTCTCTCTCTTTTGTGTGCGTTTTGGTGACCACCAAGGGCTTGTGAGCTATAGAAAGTTCTTTGACAGTAGTTGCATGAGAAAAGCTTTTGTTCTGTGGATGTTGTAGATCCGTTAACGATACTCGTTGTGTCTTCTATGCAGTCGATGAGATTGAGTTCTTGACTAGAATCATGAACGTCTCTTTCTTCATCTTTGATACTTTGTTCTAGGCTATAGTTTGGAGAATCTTGATATGGAAAAGCAGTGGATGAGGAAACTATTGAAGCGTCCATGAGAGCTAAAAAGGGAAAGATTTTTTCAGGTGATGATTTCTTCTCTCTCTTTCTCTATCTCTTTCTATTAATAATAGCTATGGAAGAGGTTTATATCAGTGAATGGGAGCAGAAGTAGATGGTATTAGAAAGGAATAGAGAAAGAAAATAAGACCCTACACTAGAACATTTTCTTAGGTTTTTGTAATAAGTGGACCAAAGTACTATGATGAGAGCGATAGGTAGGTTTGGATTGCTGTCACACCCTTCTCACAAAACACTTTAAAGCTAGTTGATTGGAACTCCACCATCTAAATACCTCTCTGTCTATAAGATATGACCCTTTCCCTTTTTGGCTTCTTCCTCCTTCAATAATCCAACCAATACATTAAGGGTGTAGAATCCAAATTTCGGTTTGGTTCCGGTTCAGAATTTTTGGGTTTTTAGATTTTCAGTTTATGAATGATAAAATATCTAACGTAAAACCAAATAAATTATGACTACTTTACCATTGGTAAATGGTAATCCATATTTTTTGGTTTTTTTTTTTTGTTAAGGAATCCTTAATAATTGAGTATATATGAACCTTTCTTTTGTTAAGAGACAAAGAAGTTAAAGGATACAAAAGACAATTGAAAACGAAGCAGTTTCTCAAAATAGTAACGAAACTAGTACATCATGATTCATAATGAAATGACAGAATAGAAAGATGACAATAAATTGAAAAGGAAGAGTACTGTTTATGGACCATCCAAATTTGTTCAGGTCTGTTTATGTCTACTTTTTGTAACTCCACGAGGTAAGTGACCATTTCTGTCTCCTTTGGCTTTTCGTGTGGTCCTCTCCTTCATCTATTCTTTCTTTTGTCCTCTATTGAGACCAGACCAAAGCTCAAACTAATCACAAAGTAAAATAACTGGTTGTTTGGACTTTGTAACAATCGAGCAATTATTTCAAGTAAGAATAGATCGTTGATTTTGACAAACCACTTGGTTCACTTAGAACTTAGAACATATCAATTAGAGGGTCTAATAATAGAACAACTTGTAAACCACTCGTATGAAAAAACTCTTTCGTTATTATACTTGTCGATTTTATTTTGTATCTTAGTGAGAAATTGTAGACCATGTATATGACTTAAAGAATAGTTTGTCTTTATGAGAGATCAATCTTTTTCTTTTTGTGTAATCTTGAAGGAAAGGATATTTGAAACTTCCACACGCTCTTCTTCTTTATCATCTTATGAGTTTAGTGGATTTGTCAATATGAATTTTGGTTTCCCACTTAATTTCACATCATGAGATACAACTAGGTTGCATGACAAAAGTCACTTTCTTCAACCAATTGAAACTTTTATTTTGGAAGCCACATCGGCAAAATCAAACCCACTTGAGTGACGAGTAAAAGTTATTCTATTGAGCATATGATATAATAATTCCTAACAATCTAACCACTTAACATTTCAAAAGTTTAACTTAAATTTGTTTAGCTAAATTTGATTTACTTTAGCTTGTAATGAAATAAAAAATATCTATTGGTTTAAAGTTTTGTGTATTTGTCGTATGTGAATTGCGACCTAGTTGATGACTTGATGGGTCCAAGGTTACATATGGCCGACACAAAAATGAGAAAAAGCTGATTCAGAGTTTTCAGTTTCTAATCGCTAATTAAGAAATTAATTTTAATAAATGTATTGTATCCTCAATAAATTGATCATAAATTGTTACATTAATGAGTAATGTGAATTGTGAATTGGCAAAGTGTATTAGCTATTGGTTAGCTTAGTGAGTATACTAATTTTCTACGTAATAGTATTATTATAGTATGATATAGTTAACATCAATCAGATTAAAAGATATAGAACATTGGATCTTACTTTAAACAGATGGTGACATGTATCTATTCATAATTTTCCCTGTATGTAGAGAGATTTGATTCGTCTTTCAAATTATTTTGTTTGGTTAAGCTTTTGTGTATTTTTTTAATCTGACAATGCTATAGGTAATTATCATATAGTAAAAAAGTACTAAACAGTAACTGGGTTCATCTAAGTTTTTTGGGCCTTATTATAATCTAATAGTTTACATGATTAGCTAAATTTACTCAATTCAATAAAAGTTTTTAAAGCGACTGTTACAAATTTGCAAATTGCAATGATTATTTTCTAAAAGTGGAATTGTTTAAGCGGTTAAAAAACTAAAAAGTAATAAACGAAAGTTTGACATACTATATCACTTGCAGAAATAATATCCACTGTGAGTACTTACCTCCTGGAGTTATGCACACTACTCCCACTAGTAACCTCTCTGGAATTTTATACCAAAAAAAAACAAAAACAAAAAAAAACTCTGGAGAAATTTTTGTATGACAGATTTATTTCGATGAGAAATGATGAATTGTTTTTTTTTTTTTTTTTTACTGTGGTGTAGCAGTGAATGTGTCATTTGAATTGATAAAAAGCTTTTTTTTTGTTGTTGGTTTCCCACAGAAGGTTGTGTATATTACATAATCATATAGTTCTGAGTCTGTCCAAGATTATTAGAGCTCATAAGATTTATAAAAAAAAAAACGGAAAATTTAACCCAATTTTCACATTATGATGATTAGGTTGGATATGGTTTCGGCTCCCTCAGCCATAAAAATATACATTAGTACACAGTAATTTATTATATTTTTCCGCTAATTGGAAATTTTTTCCATAGCTATGGTGTTGTTATACACTGAAATTTTAGATTTATTTTTTGTGAGAAAGTTTAGAAAATGGATTAGATATGCATCATGTTATAACTTTATTTGTTTCTGAAAAAGTAATGAGAAAACTGACTGGGAGAGATCATATAAGATAACGAGTAACACATGCCCCCACATATAATTCCAAATGTAGACAATTGTCTAGTCACATAAACAACCAAATCTACTTTTGGTAGATTTCATGTCTCATCCAAAATTTTGAAGCCAATGTCTTTCAAAACATATTTTTTCTTTTCTTCAGTACTATATTACCGTCTCTAGAAATTAGGAGAATAAATGTTTCTAAAACATAAAATATGTTGTATAATTTTTTTATTGGGACTGATTTAATCTCTCTAAGAAAAACCATAATTCACAGCATGCCACATAACCATGTCTTAAGAAAGATTTCTCTCAACACACGATGTCCCTTTTTTTGGGAGATAACATTCTCATTTTACACCTCTCGGAAACAAGACCATCCACATTGGTCATAAGGTATCTTTAATATGTGAATAGTAGAGGTCAATGGTTCTAAAGCATCTACGGGAAGACACAAAATCTCTACTATTCACACAATAAAGGCACCCTTATTTTGATGACCAATGAGGATGGTTTTATGCTAACCATTAACTTGGTTATCAACTAGTTACGTGGTCATATTTATATCATAAACGTTCTAAGAATTTTGAGAATAGTTGGTAGGTCTTCTTTGTGTTATTGACTTTGAGTAGGTTTGGAAGGGCTAGGCGTTGGGGTCCAGTTCGGGTTCGGGTTCAGATCGAGTTTTTTCAGATTTTCGGTATCAGGCTCGTAAGCCCCAGCTCCACCACCCTACATTTCCCAATGACTACCATCATCATGAATCAACCATCAAACAATAACCAAAGAATTAGTTAGTCCCGAATACACATATATTGGATCATACATAGCAAAATGAATCTTATTTCTTTAACAAAAAATAAAAAAGATGAATCTTATTTGGCGATTATTAGATATATGTTTCACTCTACAAAATTATAACTTAAATTTTGTCTTGATTATTGTGAAAGCTTGAAAATCGATGTTTTTGATGGCGATGGATCAACCAGTAGACTTATTCCTGGTTAACCAAAACGAAAAACCAATCAAACTTTTTTTTGATATAAAAGTAAATATCATTTGAAAATAATAAATGTTTTAGGAATTACAGAGTATTAGGACTCATATGGCATATATAAGCAGGAGTAGTTACTTAAAGAATCTCAACATCTTTGTGATTTAGAAATGAGAAACAAAAGCCACAAACAAATAATCTTTGGAGATAACTATTCTACACCTGATTTCTTCTGATCTACAACAGCTTGTATGAATGTTAAGAGTACAAATATCTGATACCATTGTTTTGATCAGCTTGCGGGTTTAGAGAGTGCTCCTGCAGCAAACAACAAATTTCTCCGAGAAAACTGCATCGATGTAAAACCAGAGTTTTAGTGTATGCTTGATCAACGAGCTTTGCAATTCTAGGGGTTAAAGAGGAAAGGTTCTATATGATGAATCAATTATTTGGCACACAACCTGAAACTTTGGTTCTAATTAATTTTTGGAAAGAGTTGATTTATTCACAAGCACAAGATGATAAACTTAGCAGGGAATCCAGCGATGAGAAATATATTACGGTATTTCGAGAATGGTGGAACTAATTCTAGTAAAGAAGAAAGTATAACTTACTCTGAGAGCGTGAACTGGTGTGGACTTGGTGGGGAAAGTCCTGAGTGAGCGCAACCTGTTGGAGTTCCCATTCCTGATCAACGACAAATGATAAGTCGTTTTAACAAAACAATCTACTATTCAAAGAGAACAATGATACAACTTTGGAAGGAGCAAACTCACTTTTCCTCGGCCTTTGTTGATTTGGTACTTGAGGTGACGTCCCACAGTTTCACTGTGCAGTCTGCAGATCCAGAAGCCAGAAGAGAGCCCTCGCCGCTGAAACAGAAAAACAAGTTAGTCATAAATTGTAGTAGTTCTATGATTATCGAAGTGGAGTTTGCGGTTTCAATATTCCAAGCAAGTGGACTTGACCAACCAAAACCAGTCATCCCTTTAACGACCCAACACATTAGGCCTATACAACTTACCACAACCCATGACAAGAACTCCTATGCGTGGATATAGAAAAATCTACCAGTTCAGTAGTAAGCCACTGTGGAATCAATAGAAATAGCCACACCACCCCACTCTAGTTCATAACCCTGAACTACCCTTAAAACAATTTTGCCCTAGAAGAAACCCAGAGATTATAAGCATTTTAATCAAAATCAATACTTGGCTGACCAGGGTTTCACTAACTCAATAAAAATTGAATGATCAAATAAAACTATATGCTTCCTGTCTCGATCTCTCACCTGTAAGAGAGACTCCAGACACATGAATTATGGCCCATGAGAGGAGTGATGCAGCGAGCTGATAAGAGGTCCCACATCATTATGGTGCCATCTTCATCACCGGAGGCCATATATCTCCCATCTGGAGACATCGCCAATGATAAGACCATACTCCTGTGCCCAATGAATATCCGGACACACTCCCCAGTTTGCACATCCCAGAGTCTAACCGTCTTATCACTAGAACCGGTTGCAATGAAGTTACAATTGGGATGCCACTGTACACACTGAAATCAAATGCATTTGACAAGTACAAAGAAAGTCACATCAATATGTATCCAAATAAAAATTGAAGTTACTCATCTGTATTAATGTCAATCCAAAAAGTTAACTAATCCACCGTTAAGCTTATGATTTATAAATAATGGCTGTCAGGGTCTCGTTAAAATAAAAAGTGGGTACTAATCTAAGTCGATAAACAATGCAAAATGTTAGCTAAACCACTGTAAACTGTGAAGCGGTAAATTAACGACTTCAATTGCATACTAAACCGTTAGAGAAATTTATTCATTCATTAATTAACAACTCAAATGATCCAACCTTTGCAAGATAAAACCCAAACAATGAAGATGAGGGAGACACTCACATCAACATCAGATAGATGCCCTGCCATTATCCGAAGAGGTTGAATTCGGTCCATTGACCAAATCCGTGCAGTACGATCATGAGAACAGCTTGCAAAGTAATGACCAAAAGGGCTAAACTGCACCATAAAACGAGTATACATAAATGTCCAGCCACCATAGATTGCAGGTTATGTAAGTAATGTGTAAAATTGAATAATTATACCTGAACATCCCATACAGGGTAATTATGACCCTTGTAGCACACGAGATTGGCATTTAGTTTTGTGCTCCACAGTCGAACTGCACTTATGAATACATGGTGGGTAACTAAAAAAAAGTCTGAACTAATGAGCCAGTGTATGGATTGGTAGAGTGATGGACAGATACATACTTGTTGTATCTGCTGAAGAAGATAGAACAAAATCTCCAGGGGGACTGAAAGTGGCCGAGTAAACTGGCCCTGAATGACCCAGTAATAATGTATAACTTCTTCTGCCATTTGGTCCCATGATTTGATCATTTGTATCATTTTCACCCTGCAAAACACCTGGAACCAGACAGCTTAGTGTCTATAACTCTCATGGAAACACAAACAATCAAAATGAAATATCAACAAAAACAACAAGCGAAACGTATGAGATAAATATCATTCTTAATTGTGGACGTCATTTATATATCTTTCAGAATGAAGGTTATTACAAAAATCATTGTTTCAGAGAAAAGACATACCACTGCCAGCTTGTCCTATCTTAGCCATGTCCCAGACCTGAACACCATAATTGTCACTTAGGCATGATTTTAAAAAGGATGAGAAAAAAGAGGAAACATATCACAACCTTCACAGAATTACATACCTTTATTGATGAATCTGAGAACCCACCAGCAACCAGAGATCCATCATGAGATATAGATGAACAGTTTAACCTGGGGGACAATAAGAGAGTGAGTAACAAGTTGCAAATAAGTAGTTAAAATTAGGAGGAGAGGTAGACATTACCCGTTATGAGTATTCACAAGTGTATAAAAGCTGACTGAAGGCATTGCGACACTGCTCAACTGTACACGGTTTCTCAGGTCTTCAAGGATGGATTGCTCTACGTCTGTAGACCTGACAGAGAAGAAAAGGAGATGGAAAACACTTAATTTATGTTAAAGGAGGTTGTCTTTGACAGCTTCTATATTCATTTCTCCTAATCAATCATGCATCATCCATAGATATCAAATGTTCATTCCTTTTTCATCAAATCCCAACACAAAAAAATGGGCAAGGGATTCGAAAGTACATTACTGGCAAGGCAAGTTCTGGTTTTACACGTGGGGCCGGTGGCACCGTAATGGTCTCCAGACGTGCAACTTTTGCTGTTGCATTTCCCGCTTTGTCCTTCTTTAACTTTTTTAAGGAAGAGCCTTGCTTTCCAATTTCAGAGGATCTTTTCTGAACAGAGTATCAATTGACGAGTAAAAATGGGATTTCCAATTCAGAAATTATTGATCTAAGTTGAAGCTATGTATCACCTTACTATCATCTGCATCCCCGTCTTTACTTTCTCCTTGTCCCTTCTCAGAATCAGACAGCAGACCTCCTGTCTTCTCAAGGCGATCTTCTAGCGAGTCTTCAAGCAACTGTAAAAGAAAAACACATATGTAGCTAATGACTTCGCATATATATTATCTTCCCTGGGATGAGGTATCAACACCGGAAAAAACAAAAGAGAAGAAGCTTTGGGAAAAATACGTACTCCCCACTGAATTTCTTTTTGATTAATGTGATTAGCTGTGTCCTGAAAACTACCGAAAATGGTGACAGCTTCTATGTCATCGGATGAGGAATTAGGTTGTCCTGAGTAGACTGCAACAAATTATCCATGACCAAACTAAAAATCTGCTACAAGCTATTGCATATATAAGAGAAAGAAACACATTTACCTTGGAAATTGATGTGCTCGTTAATAATACCAAGCATTAAAGTCGATTTTGTCCTTTGTAGATACTGAATTAACAGATCATATGAATACTGCAACATTCAGTAAGTATATTAGAGGTCTGCAGTCACGGAATTCAGTTAATCAGACCAGAAACCTTGAAGCATTTGCCTGTTACAGCTACAGCGACTAGTAAATTTTCACTTAAGTCTACCTTAGAAATCTTGATGTTGACCTTGCTTTTTCTAAGAGACCGAGCAAACTCCATCTCCTGATAAGAACCAAGATCATAAGAAAGTCAATAACAAAAAAAAAAAAAATCCATTATCAATATTATACAACCATATAAGGTTTAGCTTAAACCTCTAGATGAGATGGAGCAAGAACACCTTCCAATTTCTGAAGATCCCGTAAGTGTACCATCTCATGATCTTTACGGAAGCTGTTAAAAAAGCCTCTCGCTGGCATACAAAAAAGTATAGCTTATCAGATAAGTAGTATAAGTCACTCTTTACTCATTACATCTAATTGCTATATCGAAAAGTACCTTCTTGAGTGTGCCCTTTTCCCACCAAATCCATGTAACAATGAATAAACACAGGATACATAACTCGAAGCAATTCATGCTACAAATTAGAATCATCTTGTCAGTTCCATACAAAATGTTGCTACACAAAACAGCCAAGGGAAAAAAAAAAAACCCACCTTATATAAATCTAGTGAGTTATAAGCCCATGACCTTAGATTGCTGTAACCCTCACGGTACCGAGTAGGATCATCTTCTTGTCTGGAAAAACAAAAGAAACCACATTTCTTAAACCATTAGCTCTACATAAGCAACATTATAAACCCTAATTTAAATACGAAACACAAAGAAACAAATGCATAAACACAGAAATATAACCCTAATTTCGAATTGAAAACAGAAACGAGAGAGAGATTGTGGGGAGATTGATTACTGAGAAAAGGAGCGGATGAGTTTGGTGAGGTCAGGATCGTTCTGATAATCGGTAGAAGTGAAACTGCTACCATTGTTGTTGTGGTGATGATAAGATTCAAGGTCTTTAGCAGCGCTATTGAATCCTTTCTTCTTCAAGTAACCAACAACGAACTCGTTGATTTGCTCTGGATCCATTATTGTTCTCGCTTCTCTCTCTCGATTCAAATCCCTCTCCTCAGAAACTGTATCTCGTCGTCTCATGTTTTAGATTCACTGTCTCTCCCAAAACTGGGCCTCTTTAAATGGGCCTAATTGTGGCCCAACTAAAACTATCTCCCAAATAAGCTGTGCATGGACCAAGCCTACTAAATCTGTTTTGATCACTTCACGTATGCACCTGATAGGCTGATATCAAGTGAAATGTAATTATAAGTGAGTGCTCTTTGATTTTCTAAATTGAATCTATGTGTGTATAATGTAACAGACAATCAAATAGTAAAACTATACCCTAGAGCGAATTACAAGGTCAACCCAAAAGAATCACATAAATGTACATTCAAGAAAGGAAATTAAACCTTAAGGTCTACAACAAATGGAACCTAAATGGGGACAATAAGACACATAAGATGAATATTGAACTGAATAATGCCACAAACATTGAAAAATGTAACGGCCAATGAATTAGTAAAACTAAACTCTGAATCCAATTACAAGTGTAAACTTAAGGGAATCATACAAATTTACATAAACCCTAAGGTCTGGACTGACGGGAAAACCCTATGGGCAAGATAAAACAAGCTAAATGAGATCTAAGTTTCATGAAACAAAAGAAGAGGATATTACCAGAGAAAACATTACTTGAATCTTCATCGCATGAACTAACCAAAAAATATGACTGAAATCAGTTACAAATTTAATATAAGAAACACAATTACGAACACAAAATTTGTATCTAAATGTACAATTTGTGAACTAAGTATACGGAGAAACAAATGAAACATTAAAAGTCTATCCTCTTCTTAAAAAATTTCCATACTCCATCAAAGAAATTTATCTTCGACTTCCAAGCAACCTTCGACCATAGTCTTGGATCTTTTAGGGATCATCCATTTTTGCCTGCAAAAGAAGTGATTAACCACACAAATAAATAATTTGAAATAAATGAAAAGTAAAAAATGAGTTGATAAAAAACATACATTCCTCGCGTACATCGGTAAAAAACTTCACTGTCTTGGGATTTTTCTTCTTCCAATGAAGTACTCTATTTCCACCATAAAGGGTGATAAGACCCATCAAAGCAATTGTGTTCATGTACTTCCACAAATATCTAGGGACTAATAAATAAATAAAAAAGTTATAAAAAGAGTAGAAATAAGATTTGAATCACGCACCTATTAGAAGCGGATTTGGTTTGGAAGTGAGAACTTTGGTTGAAATCTTAGGAGAAGAAGGCTACTTACCTTGTTGACATCCTTGATTCTTTCGGCCACTTTGTCCAGCTTTCTCTTGATGACTCATGTCGACGAGAGATAAACTTAAAAGAGTTTAGGCTTACATATAGGAAGTGGTCTGCGCCGCAGTATAAAGCTATTGGATTAATTTGATTGTATACCTTGTATCTCATAAAATTTTTGAAATTTATCCTAAAAGATTTTAGTATTTGAATTATACCTTATATATTAAACAAAATGACATTTTTGTCCTTACTTAATAATAAAAATTCAGAAACAATAAAATAATTTAAATAATTCGTTTTAGAAATATTATTTTAAAATTAAAATAAAACTGTTTATATTAAAAAAACTTAGATACTCAAAATTTATTTTTAGGATTTTTGATAATGATGAAATAATTAACTATGGTTAATAATAATCAATAATTAAAACTAAAATTCAGATTTAAGAAAAATTCAACTAATAAAATCAAGTAACATAAAGGATACCAAAAAAAAACTCAGAATTCATATAATTACAAAAAAATAAATTATGAATTTTAGTTGTATAATAAAAAATTATATCGATATGGAATGATTTGGTAAGACTTTTATATAATAATTCACTTTAAAATTAATCACAAATTTTAATTAAATATAATTCAAATTAATTTTTCTAATATTTTTCATTTAGTAGAAAATTTCAAAAATATATGTATATTCGAATAAACTATATTTATTTTAACCTATTTACAAATATAAGTTAAATAATTTAGATAAAAAATATTAATTTAGATATAATTACCAAAAATAATTAGCTCCGTTTAAAAGAAAATAAGTCAACAGTTCAAAAAAGTCGACAATGTAAAAAATCAATTAACCAAAATATAAGTCAACTCTTTTAATATAAGTCAATAGAAAAAAAAAAGTAGACATAAATAAAATATAAGTCGACAGTTCAAAAAATCAACCTTATTAATAAATCAACGTTAAATAAAATAAGTTTACCAAAAATAAATAAATCGACAAAAAAAATAAGTCAACAGTTTTAAAAAGTCGACTACATAAAAAAATAATCAAACAAAATATAAGTCGATTGTTTTAAAATAAATCAAAAGAAATAAATTTAGTCGACGAAAATAAAATTAAAGTCGTCAGTTTTAAAAATCGACCTTATAATAAGTCAACGTAGAATGAAGTAAATCCACCATGAATAAACAAGTCTACAGATTAAATTAAAAGTCAATGAACAAAAAAAAAGTCAAAAGTTCAAAAAATTGACTATGTTATAAATCAACTAGCCATAACATAAGTCAACTGTTTTAAATCAAGTCGACAGAGAAGAAAATTAAATCAACAAAAGTGAAAAATAAATCAATAGTTCAAAATATCAACCTTAAAAATAAATCTATATAGAATAAAATAAAACTAAAAAAATTATCAAAAATATATCTACACAGATTTTTAGTTTATTTATTACAAATTATATAATTTTGAATTACTTATTATTGAATAATTTAGAAATCTAAATAATATTATCAACTTATATATAAATTTTTAAACGAGATAATGAAAATAAATACGAATCTTAGTTAAAATATTAAAATTTCATTTTTTTAGTTAATTTATTTAAATAATATTTAAATAAATAAAAAGGGTATTATGGTCAATTTTCCATTAAAAATACGTCGTTTTCAAAATAGTGTAAAATTGATTGTAGTTTTCAAAATTCTAATATAATTTAGAGTATTTATAAAAATTTCCCAAAGCTATTCGAGCTCGGAGACGATCACAATCCCACTGCGAACACGCTTCGTCTTCAAACATCGAGTGTGTGACGCAGTCTACGTTTTGACCAGCCATGTTTTTTAAATCGAGAGATCACATCACCCAAAAATCACCGCCTAAAACTGCGATGAGAGGAGAGAAAACTAGAAAATGAGAATAAGATAATGAAATTGCATAACGTGATTTGATAAGAAAAATTCATTCTCCTTTTTTTAATAGAAAACTAACCTTTTTATATGTGATCAGATAATTTTTTCTTGATTTGAATTAAAAGTTTCGATATTAATAAATCAAACTAAATTTGAAATAAATATAGTTATTATTTAGTAGCATTTTATAAACATCTAAAAACTTTTCAAATTTCTGGTGAAAATAGTTTTTGATATGTTTTTCTTGACTTGTCAAACTATTATGATATATGTTTATTTTATTTTTTCTGATTTTTTCTAATGCACTTATCTAAACACTAATTGTATGGATTTAAATATAAATTAAACTAAAATGTATAATATGTAAAATATTTTTCAACGACAAAAAAATTGAATATAATAATAACGATAGTTCTAACAATACAGAGCATAAAAATCAGAAGCCACAAAGCCTAAGTTTAGTTAGTATAATCAGCTGAGTAATCTTCTTTTTCCTAAGTTTTCCGATGTTTGGATCATAATTGTTTTTAATATTTATCAAAAATTCTCTAAATTTTGTTAAATATCGAAATTTGCCAAAATAACTATTCCAAATTGGATGGGCCGTACCCGTTCCTAAATCCACTTTTATTAATATTTGAGCGTTAGAGAATTGAATTTAGCCATCCGAATTTTCCATTACCGTTTTATTACCCAAAATTCTCGTCTTGTATTTATCAGAAATCATTTGGGTAATAGTTTTTATTATTTGAAGTACTTGTTTCCTAAAATGGATATGCCTACTCTTTTTAATTGTCATGATGAAAACATATTAAGAAATATTTTGAAACATTTATTCTTATACAACATTTAGAGTTTTTGTATTAGGATTTCTATCTTTATATACAACTAAAAGTTTAAAACCATTTTTAGAAGTTACTCTTAAATGTGCCAAATAAATTTGTATGTAAAAAAACCCGGTTTAGGTACTAATAAACATTTTTATTTAGTCATGTCCATTCCTTTTAAAAAGCGACGGATTTCAATCGGAATTTTCTCAGCTAGAACCGTTCCTTTTTAAATTTCTCGCTTTGGATTGTTTATTTCAACTTAAAGATTAGGACATGATACCAATATATTGTTTGGGTGATTAATTCTTATAAAATTGAAAATTATCCAAAGTATCTTTATATTCTAAAAAAATTTCTCTTTTTTTTTTAATATTCAAACTTTTCGATATACCCATCTCACAATGTATCTTTACCAGTTTCATCTTTGTGTCTCTTCAAATATATTTTTTTGTTTACTGATTTTAGCTCGTTCTATTTAATTATTTCCCACAAAAAATATTCTAAAAACAAAAAATTGTAACAGTTCATCAAATATATTAAAAGTTGCAAGGAGTCATCAAATAAATTAAATTTTGCAATGGTTCTTCAAATATACTAGCTGTTGCGATGGTTCATCAAATAAGTTAGTTGTTACAATGATTTATAAAATTACAATGGTTCGTCAAATAAACCAAATGTTACAATAGTTCAATTAAACTGTAACAATAATTCATTAAAATATATTTTATTAATAGTTCGAAGAGTTTTGACCAAGAGACACGAATGTAGATATCAAATATACCAATGGTTGCAACAGTTCGCCAAATAAAATAAATGTTACAACGGTTCATAAAATAAACCAAATTAAAAATACGATGGTTCTTCAAATAAACCAAATGTTGTAATGATTACTTTAAACGGTTGCAACAATTGATTTTTATATATCTAAGTAATTAAAAATAAGAACTAAAATTTATGAAAATTTATACTAAGAGACGCGACCATAGATATCAAATATACTAAAGGTTGCAACAGTTCGTCAATTAAAGTAAAAGTTACAACGGTTCGTAAAAAAAACTAAAAACTGCTATATATGATTCATCAAATAATCAAATATTTCAAAAATTTAATTTAACGGTTGCAAAATTCATTTAAATCAATAAAAAATATTTTTTATGTAGAGTTATAGCGAGAGACGTGATTGTAGATAGCAAATATAGCTAAACGTTGCAACAGTTTATCAAATAAACTAAGGGTTACAACGGTATATTAAATAAATTAAATATTGTGATGGTTAGTCAAGTAACCTAAATATTTTTAATGGTTCAACTAAACGGTTATAAAAATTTATTTAATATTTTGATAGTTAAAAACTAAATCAAATATATTTTGAAAAATTATAATCAAAAGACGCGATTGTAGAAGTCATTTTTTTATCAATCTATAAAGCACCACCTGAACGATGAGTGTATAAAGCCCTCACCTTTTTTGTGGATTTTTAAATCCTCATATGGTAAAATAAACTCTATTATTAATAAATCCTTATATTAAACATAATAAATACTCCATCCGTTTCACAAAAAGTGTCGTTTTAAGGTTTTAATTTTGTTTCACAAAGAGTGTCGTTTTATGTTTTCAATGCAGTTTTTAAGACTATTTCTCTTTTTTTATCCCTACTATTTCAGCTTATTAATTATATAGATGGTATTATCTAGTGTATTAATAAGGAGTATAAATGAAATTTGTTTAATTTTCTTAACTTGTGTGAAAACTGGTAGAATGACACTTTTTGTGAAATAGAGGGAGTATAAAAATTTGATTTAGGATTTTTCTTCTAAAATTCTATTTACAATCTTTTTTCTAAATTGAAATTTTTTAAGTCATAATGTAAAAAAGTTAATTGTATTCCGTTGTGTTACAAATATTCATCGTGAAACCAAACAGATTTTGTTACGAATAATACATAAATTCTTATATTGAACCGAATATGATTTTATGTTAATAAATGTTTATTCGGTTCGATCACATAAATTTGCTAAAGTAAAACCAAACCAAATTTTATAATACTACGAAAAGTACATGAATTTCTAAATCAAAATATTTTCATCGGACAAACTAAATAAGATTTACTAACAGTTAATATTTCTATATACATATTAGGATATATTTAAAAAATAATATAAATTACATATATTTAATAATTATTTAGCTATATTTTTATCCAAAATCTGAAAACTCGAACAAAAAAAATCAAGTGCTATCCTATAAATTTTTTTAGTTTATATAACGTAACTTCTAATGGTAACAAAAATGATTTGCCTAATCTCAACGAAATTGTGAATGAATTTTTTTAGCGCAAAAACCTTAATTTTAGAAAGAAAAATTGTAAAC